CGATCCGACAGAATGTGTTGCAAGTTAGCTTGTGCCCCCCTTGGCATCGTTATGCACGCACCACATCGGGTTTGTATTTGCCTGTTGCCTAACAGCATCATTCACTCTGACATGGTGAATGCCGCCGTATGCAATGCGATGAGCATGTTGCATATTCGGTGATTTTTCGACAATGCAGCCTGCGCACCCCACGGTGTGCTCGAGCATGTGTGATCATATGGGGTTTCGGCTCTTCCACCGCATCTGCTGCGAGCCCAACGCCGCAAAGAAAAAACCGAAGAATTGACGTTGCTCCATATCGCAGTCTACCCATCGTCAGCCCCGGCTCACGCAACGTACGGCCAGCGTGCATGGCAGCTCCCGCAACAGGAAGGTGTTTGCCTGTGCACATCGACGGCTGGCTTCAAGACTTGCATCCAACTTGCATCGGCTCCCCGCTTTGGCCTGCTGCCCAGGCGGGGTTTCATCGTTGATAAGGCGTGGGTTCAGGTCGCTCGCGAAGCGGTCGGCGGAAGGTCGGGTCGTGCGGCTGTCGCGCAACCCTCGTCTCCCGCTTGCTCGCGCTGGCCGCCCCGTCCCCGGTGCCGACGCGCGGGGCGGGAGTCGCGTTAGTTGCGGCGCGCCCAAGCAAAGTTTCGCGCTACACGGAGTTGACTCGCGGAAGGCCTCAACGACTCATCGTCCTCGCTACAGAAGTCGGGGCCGCTGGAGCGACGAGTGCCAGCAGTTCCTCCGCACCGTCCTCCGGCTCTGTGTCCAACGCGCCCCGCTACCCCTGCGCGCCTCTGCAGCCCAGGCCGGGCGCCCCTCTGGTGGAGTGTGCTGTCGGTTGCGCTGCAGCGATCCGTCGCCGGCACAGCGCTTGGAGCTGGAGAATGCCGCCGCTGCCTGGTGCGCTAGGCGCACCCCCGTGTTGGGTGACGTCTGGAACCTAGTGATAGCGCCGAGCCGGCTGCCGCTGTGTTAGCACCCCGAAAACGCCCTTAGGTCTGGGTAGCTTCCGACGGAGGGACACATTGTGCGGACGTAAAAAATGGCGAGAAAAAGATCCAACATTGAGCTCGAAGGAGCTAGGCCGGAGATGTGCGGTCAGGCCATGCGCGGAAGACGGTGGGTGGGTGAAGGAATTTTTTTCCATGGCACGAATGTCCTGCTCTTGCCGCACGTTGTTGTGCAGCCTCCTACTGTACCCCTTCTCTTCCCTACCCGCCACGTGGCGGCAGGCGGCTCGACCCTGCTGCGTCCGCAAGGTCGAGTACGCGATCCAGCTCTGGGGCTGAGCGTTGGCTCGCGTGAGGCGGCATCGGCCAAGCTGACCCGAGGGCAGTGCTTGTGACGACCTGTTGTACCAGCAGCACTGCGCACGGCCGGTGCAGCTCGCTGAGCACGGACACGCACAAGGTCTCGGAGCAGCTGGTGTGCACCGGCGTTCCACAAGCCGCCGACCTCACTTCCGAGCACCACCAGCTGTTGCGGGCCACCGTTCAGCTCTGGGTAGGCGGCTCGCTTGCGTCGCTCGGCGACCTGCAAGCTGGCTCCCTCGTGCGCGGCAGCGCAGGGCTGCGGCAAGCCCGTGCGTGACAGCGGCGACACGAGTGTGGCGTCGCAGCACATAGGCCCCGCCGAGACGCGTCGCTCCGTAGATGACGAGGTCCAGGCGGCGCCGGTCATCGGAGCGGACGTTGGGTGCTGTCGTGTGCGCGAGCCAGTGTTGGGGGACCACCTGCCCATGAAGGAATCCGTCAGGGAACGCGTGATGAATGAAGCCATCACGGAATGAGTGCATGCACTCGTGCCTGCGTGGTGGGTGGGTAATTGACAAAGTTTTTCGGTAAGTCCGCATCATGCTGTGTTGGTGATGTCAGCACCCTCCACACCTGAACCCAGGCTTCGCCACCTCAGTTTTTCGATCTTCCTGAAAACGGCGGTGTGGCAGTGTAACCCGGCCGGGTGAGGCCAGGATAGGCCAGGACGTAAACATCATCGCTAAGACTTGCTCCGTGGGCCGGAGGTTTCGTTGGTGCGGCGAAACCAACAAAGAAAACGAAGACTGCGCAAGAAACCTCAGGATGCCTCGGCCGCGAATCTCGACGGCGAATCTGGCGGCGGCTCGCCGGAGCGAGTGGCAAGGCTGACGCAGGTGGTGCCCACATCAAGCTGAGGCCCTGCCAAGGGGGCAAGCCGCTAGAGACGATCTCTGTCCGGCGCACATCGGGCATGTTTTGAAAACTGGGGGGTGCCATGGCAGGAAACGGTGAGCACGACCTAATGCCCAAATGCAATGGACATATTAACATTGCTTCACGGCACAGAGGGAAGATATTGGGAGCTACGGACGCGCTGCATTGCAACGAGTAAGGCCATGGCCTCATACAGAGCCAAGAAGGACTGCACCCTCGGTCGCCCTCGTGGGTTTTGGGACGTCCTCGGCAACCAGCAGCCTCGTGGAATTGAGGGCACGCAACCAAACAACGAGAAGGGCACCGCTTATCGCGGCAGCGCGCTTACAAATGTGTGCGTGCACAGTTGCATGATTTCATTCATGGGAAAAATAGCATGCCACGTGCAAATTTTCCGCCAACCTGAATTCCTTCAAAACCCAGCGCGTACTTGCACGCACGACAATCGAGCGAGGCTGAGTTGGGAAGCTACCACACGGCCCGGAAATCACTAGCTGTAAGACCTCCCTGTTGCTTGCCTGTGTGCAAATTTGTCGTGCCAGTGTGCTGTGCGCGCTGGAGGGAACGAAAGCATGACTGTCTGCGCCGGGGCTTCGTGGCATGAAAAAGCGATTTGGTTGATCTCGTCGGACGGCCGCCCTCCACATATCTACATGTTTGGCAGATTTCGCTGCCTTGAACCACGTCTGGAAGCAAGCACATCTGGCATGCGCAAAAAAGCTACAAGTCTTCTCGGCTTGTATGGTTTCCCGCTTGATGTATTATTCCCTTTCATACAGCTTGGCTTTGTAAAGCTGAGTTATGCCAAATTGCTTGCCTTTCTAGCCCGTTGCCTTGGTTCCATCCTCGGCATACCACACTCCTTCACCCGCCACGTGCGCAATGAGACTGTGTTACAGGAAATCTGCCACTGAGAATCAATCTTTGGCCCCAACAGCATCTACTTATCGACCAACTTCCACGGGAGGATGTCATGCAAACATGCATACTTCATGATGGAACGTTTCAGCCACGATGGCAACGATCGAATGCCGCGGCCAATCCCCAATTTTTCATCCGTCGGCAGCACGCCAGACCATTCCTGAACATCCCTCTTGCAGCAGCAGCTCGACTCCGGCGTGAACGCGACGTGCGACATGTAATGAATGTTGCAAAGGAACGATCCGCCCGGGTGTAGCGAGGACACCATCGTCGTCTACTGAGGCAGAAGTTGCGTCACCGCCCCACAGCACCGGCGGTCAGCAGGCAATGTGATCTTCAATCTTCACAATCTACACCAACCACCCTTATTCCCAGCATTTTGACCCAGCCGACTTTCGCAATAACTGCGTAATGCTGGAGGGATCTACAATCTACATTTAACGCAAGCCTTCTGCTGGAATAAGGTTCCCTCGAGATTGCGATGGCTAGTGGAAACTTGAGTGATGCTTGGACATGCTTGGACTCCGCTGCCGGACACGGCGGACGATCTTCTTTCGGTGGCGTGGCGGCCACAACTTTGCAACCACGTCGGGGCAAGCCTGCGAAACCGCCGGAGTCGCTGTTGGTTGTACGAGCCCGTCGGCTATGGCGACGCCTGAGCCAGCTTCACCGTGATTCCGCGAACTGAGATGGAGAGTTGGTGCGACGGATGCAGTCCTCGGAACGTAAGCCCACTTGGTGGATTCTCTTGAGGTCCACTCGAAGCTCCCCGAGTTCACTTGGACTCTGCAGCTCACGGCAGAGGCCCTGAAGCGAAGTGCGAAAGCGGCTGGCCCACATGTGCCTTCTACCTGTTTGCTTTTGGATCGCTTTGCCAGGATGTGAGGGCGTCGTGCTCATCGAGAAACCCTCCTCGGGGCATCGACCTTTACCATCGTCTCGTGTGCTCCTGGTCCAACAGCTTGCTGGACGGATCGGCGCATGCGCCACGCAGAGAGTCCTTGGTGGGGTCTGCAAGCGCGGTTTGAAAGATGCTTGCCTTCGAATTGTGGACTGGCTCGACGATGAGCCGCGCTACATCCAGGAGGACCTTACCAAGCTTCGACAGCATCAGGCCTCGTTGTTGTTGCTGTGGAGCTTTGCTTTCGGCGGAGTGGTTGGCAAAGGGTGGCACCGGGTGGTTGGTGGAGTGCTCAAGGGCTTCGGCGGCATCGGCTATGGCAATATGGTCGTCGGTGGCGGAGAGAGGGACGACTGAATCGACGGTCGCTAACCGGTGTACCTCGCTACGGACGGCAGTGTTCTCGAAACCGTTGCGGCTTGGGCTGTGGCTTTGAGTTCTCGTTGGGCGTTGGCTCGGCGCTAAGGACGAAACACCCCGTAGGACGGAGGTTGAAAGGCTGGTGGCCAAGCCTTTGGAGTGGTGCACGTGCTCGCCGACTCTCAGTCTGTGATGGCCACGGTGCAGAGCAATTTGTCGAGTGCACGGGCCAGGCTCGCGTCTGGAGGTGCCGTCGCACGTGCTAGGTCCCCCATGGCTCCACCTCTACGTCCACAATCGAAGTGGAGCCTTCGAAGGCGCTAAGCTCTAGGTCGAGCCCAGTCTACGACCCAAAGGCGGAGAGTAACGCGGGAGCTACACGTGGGGAGCTGCACAAAGACTGGTAGGGGAGTACAGTGAACCTTCGCACAGAGTCTGCGACTTCGTCAAGCCTTGTCGTGCATCCGCGCGACCCCGCGCGTGGGCAGAGGCTTTCGTATTCAACTCGGGTATATAAATAGGTTTCTGCGGAGCTTATCCTTCGAATGCGCACAAACTTGAAGACCATTCCAGGCAGGACACCACCCCGCCCCACAAATGGGAAACAACCTCAGCTAGACGCATTGCTGCCGCAGTGCTTCTGCCCATCGTGTGGAAGGAAGGGAGCTCGCCAATCTTCATGGAACATCGTGGTTCTCCTGGCAGGCCCAATGGATTTACCGGACTTCACCGGGGAGAAACTCATGCCCTTCACCCTGAAGCCGACCTAATCGAATGTAAGGAAGCTCTTCGTTGTTCTTCAAGCACCTATGAGTTCTACAAATTGAGGGTCTCCTTTCAAGAACCCACAAGAAGGCCACACCTTTTCAGTAAGGACCCTTAAAAGCCCTAATTGAGAGAACTACCCAACCCTGAACCCTAAACCCTCAGCCCTAAACCCGAAATCCCACTACCCATACTTCTCCGACCCGCCGTGCCTCTGCACTTCCCAGACCTGCCATGGTCTACCAGCAGATCTAAGGTTCAGGGCTTTGAGGGTTTGGGGGTTTAGGCCATCGGGCTTAGGGTTCAGGGGTTTGGGGTTTAGGGCATGATCGTTGGGTTTAGGGCTCGGGGGTTTGGGGCGTTGAGCGCTTGGGGTTTCGAGTTTAGGGACGCAAGCCATCAAAGCATCCTCGAGACGACGCTTGTGCCACCCTCCAGCGAATTGAAGATGTCTCTGAATCCCCAAGGTTTGAAGCAAGCAGCTGCTGACAAACCGAAACATGTGACCATTTCCGAGATCTCGCATAAAGATATAATGCAGTATTCTGACAAGTCGCGTTGTGTGATAAGAAGTGTGCTGCAAACCATTCCAGCGCAGGGACTAACTCCTGCACTTCCCTTCTTCTGAAGACGACTGCTCCACTCCCTGCACGCCTTCCTGCTCCAATATATGGGAGTTTCCGGAAATAGGGGACCCTAATAGTGCACCCTAAATAGTAGGATCCTTATTATAAGGACCCTCAAATAAGTAATAAGGTACCCCTCATTTTCAACAAAAGCCGTTTTCCCGACCCCAAAGTCCGGGCGCTCATGGGTCGTGCAAAACACGGAGATTTGGAGAAACTGAAAGTCCCCATATATCTTTTTAGGGTACTATACTATACTTAGGTCCCCTGTTTTCGGAAACTACCAGTTTGGCTTCAGGGTACCCTATGTCTTGAGCACTGAGATAATTCACACACTGCTACACACAGCATGCTTGAAGCTTTCCTTCAGACTCTTTGTTTCTAGTGTCTCCCTTTCGAGATTTTGCTGGGTTCAGGTTCTCGGAATCGTGACTGATTTGAGGAGTTTCCGAAAATTAGGGGGTACCTTATTGTGAGGTCCCGATAATAAGGATCCTACTATTTAGGGTACTACATTAGGGGAAACTCCCATTTGAACCCATTTGAGGAGTAGCGACAAAGGCCGCAGGAGATCTCAAGAACCTGACCTGCCGTCACCACGTGCTTCGACGGTCAACCAGTTCGGTATAGACATCCACCCCAAGACCTGCCTTGAGGTTCTTGCGTGGGGCTTGGGACCATTCTAGCTTGACCGCTGCTTTCCCCCACCCTTGTTTAACACGTGCCTTAATAGTTCGAATAAGGTTTTGAGGCCGAATATTTCTTTTTTATCATAATGAGGAACTCCCCAAAATAGTACAGGTAATGGTTGAGGCCCCTATGCTACACCCGAGCCCCAAGCCCGACTGGCCTCACATCGAAGGTCCACCGACTTCATGGCATTCTGCTTCACCCAGGTATTTGCAGCAATGCTTGTGATGGTGTCTCCAAGGTCACCCAAGAAATCCTTAGTTGCTGAGTTCATAAGCCCCCCCAAAAAGTGTACACTTTCAGTTTTCTAGTGGGTAATACTATCCCAAGAAGTGTAAAGTGTATCCACTCAGCTACTAAGAATCAACTATGGATGGGAGAGCCGAGACCAGGCTGCCGTCCATATCATCGTCCGTCCCAGCTAAAGCCGCAGAAATCACGGGATCTTCTTCCGCCGACTCGAAGCCATCATCGCCGATAGATACTGCATCCTCCATGCTGCTCTCGTCGTCGTCGATCATACCGAAGATCCCTGAATTGGACGACCTCGGCCTAGGAGTGCATGAAGTTGGCGATCCGACATTGACAGGGGACATATCCTCCGCATAGCTCTGAAGGACGCTCATGAGCTTCTCGCAAGTATCCTTTTGTGAGTTCTTGATGCTGGACTCGATCATCGACCGCAAAAACGTGCGTTTGACGAAATCCGCAGAGAATGATTTCGTGACGAGGACGCCGTCACCCTCACGAACCATCTCAATGTTCTCCTCGACGCTGAAATGGTCTCCGTATGGAACATCATGCGACACAGCGGAGGATTTCAACCTGACAATGTCCCGACCCTGGTCATCATGTGAAAGCCCAAGGCCGTAACTCACACTCACCCGTGTCTCCTTTGGGCACATTGGCTGTGGCGGAACGGGCATTATCATGGCCGCTTTGCGGCTCCCGCTTGTTGTTCGGGCACCCGGCTTGGGCGGGGTGTCCCAGTGCCAAGGCTCCGTCTTAAAGTCCCGGACGCCATGTCTGTCCCAGTAATCCTGGGTGCCCGAAAAGACAACATCCTTTCCTCGCTTCTGCCTCAAGAAACACGGACTTTGCTAATCTTTCAGCTCGGTTTCCCATATAAGGCAGCCAGCCGCCCAGTCGTCTGCTAGGAGTGCGTCCTGGCAAGGCAGATTCCCAGCACTATCGTTGCGTCCCATGCTATGTCAAATTACTAGCCTGTGCGGATGATCACTCGGCCACAAAAGAACAAGTACAACTGCTGCGGGCCTCGACCTGTTGCAGCGAGAGGGCTTTGACATGTGCGCACAACACCTCGGTGCATACAGTGCTGTGTTGCTAAGGGCTTTCAGTACGATTTTGATAGAAGCTAGATCCCGTCTTGACGAAAACGACTTGGAGACAAGTCGCCGGAATCATGTGGGCGCGGGGAGGTGTGACGTCTTAAACGGCATCAGAAAGCGGTTCACACAGAATATGACTGACATGTACATCCCTCTCAACCGTGCTTGCACTCACGTTCCTGGGACATGTTCTCTTCTCAAGCCCGGCACAAGAATCCTTCCGACATCATCCGACTGCATGTCCAAGCGTTGCTCAGGTTTTCGATGTGCGCGTCCATTTTCCGTCTATGTCGCTTTCGATTTCAGTTCTTGAGCTGCGGTTTGCTTTTGCTCATACGGTATGCAGTGGCTTTAAGCGTTGATGCTTTGGAGTCACATGCTGTAGGGCCCGCGGCCGACAAGTTGGACTTGTGGGCTGGTGGCGATGCGCCCACCATCCCTTAGTTGCTAAGTTCTTAAGCCCCCAAAGGTGCGCACTTTCAGTTTTTTAATGAGTAAATAGTGAGTAAGATTATCCCCCAAAGTGTAAAGTGTATCCACTCAGCTACTAAGATCCACATTCATGAACGAGATCAACAGACAAACCGAGGCAGGATATCTTGGAACTCCTGATGCGACATGTCCGGAAAGCAAGCAGCAAGCGAGTCCCTGCAGCAGACGACCGGAATTGGCATGCATGCCAGCTTAAGCTAGAGAACTCGAACGGTGTGGAGACGACTCTGACATTTCAGCAGCATCGGGCATCCTATGCAACAGTATGCCATCAACAGTAGCAACAGTACCGACAACCCTTCCCCTGCACCTTTACACTCCCATTCCCGAAGCTCTTGGACTCTTGGTGCAGCCGTGCACGCTGCTCTTTGTGATTTTGGGCACACAGTCAGCAGGGATGCAACAATTCCAGGACTGCGTTCTTTTCTTCACCCGTGGCTTCTTCATGCGATGTTCTGGTGAAACAGTGAAACAGTTGAAGATATTTCTGGACAGATGAATCACTGCCAATAAGCAAGCATACCTAGTGCATCGCTAGCTCTACTCTGCTCTGAAGTGCGCAAATTCCGCCAACATGCATCTTCACAATCCTTGTTGTATGTATGTGTGTCTGCATGTATGTCCGGTCTGCATGTCTGCATGTATGTATGTATGTACGGCCGTCTGTCCGTCCGTCTGTATGTACACATGTGTCCATGAATGCATGTATGCATGCATAAATGCGTGTGTGCAGGTATGTGTATGTGAATGTGATTGTGTACCGTGGTACAGATTCGGCATCCCAATAAATATGTATGTGCAGGTTATGTCTCTCATAAACATGTGCATGATATGAACATCGATAGCTTGTGTGCAATTTAAACCACGACTGACTTCTGACTGCTGCGTCCCTTCCAGTTCAGGCATCACCATAAAGCTAACGGCTCGCCTCAGCCTCAGCCCTGACTTGTTGGCAGGTGCGGCCAGCCGCTCTTGGCTCTTGGTCACAAGTGCCCAGAACCTTGAGACATGAGCTGATAGTACTGGCTGGTGGTGGTGGTCGTGACGGTTGCAGCGACGGCAGCGGCAATAGTTGCAACTGCCATACGGACATCAAGTATAGATAGACGCCACAGATTTCTACGGAAATCATACACTTCAGACTGAATGGAAGAGCACTACGGCGAATGCAACTTCTGGTGCAATGGTACAGAGGCTCGTGGTCAATGCAACGAGGGTAGTATTTCTGCCTGCTACGGTAGTACGACCTCAGTCGTAGTAAAATCATCACAATCATGCCGAGCAGTGTTGCCACCCTGCGCTGCAGCTATGGGGGCGTTGATGGTGGTCGCCGTCGTGAACTAGTTTACTCACTGCCGCACGCACACACAAACACACACACACACACACATACCCAGTCTGAGCTGGTTGTCTCGAGTCGTCATCTTCTTCTTCACGCTTCGAATTGTGCTTGCATGCAGAATCTCCACAGAAAGTCTTCAGAAGCTTGCATTCAGAATCTCCACAAAAAATCTTCAGAAGCTTGCATTCAGAATCTCCACGGAAAATCTTCAGAAGAGATATGGTTGTTTTCAGCAGGTACGTTTTCACACTTACCATCGGAGGTCTTCGTTGGCCGCAGCTCCGATGGTAAGCCTGCGGCCCCCTGCATCCCCTGCATTCTCGTATATGCATTACAGAACTGTCGGAAAAGATGTCTTCCTTAGAAACAGGAATTCCACACACACCTACCCGGTCAGTGCCGGTTGGTAATGATTCACTCTCATAGGCTAAGTTCTAGACAAACATGATGTAACATCAACAACACAACAATAACGACGCGGACGACGAAGAGAAACAGCAAACAGACGAACAACAACATCGACGACGACGAGGAAACGACGCAACAACCAACACCACAATAACTGTGGCTGCAACATCTACACGAACGACAAGGACGACGGGAACGAATAAAAGCAACACAGGAACACGACGACGACACGACTGAACGAAAAAACAATAATAGCAACACAACAGGCTCGCTGCTTTCCGAGGAAAGCTTCGCTACCACAGGGGATGCATCATACTAGCAGCTTGGCGGTCTTCAGTGAAAACATCATCTCAAACACCACCTTCAAGTGCCAAAGGAGGTGGTATTCAGAAGGCACAGTAATGTAGCAGCTTGGAGGTCTGCAGCGAAATCATCATCTCAAACACCATCTTCAAGTGCCAAAGGAGGCGGTCTTCAGGAGGCACATTAATGGATACATCATCTGGTAAAACACACATAAAGATAGTCCTTTCATCATAGCAGCTTGGCGGTCTTCAGCGAATACCAACACCCAGAGCACCATCCTTTGCGTCAACGGAGGATCGAGGTATTCAGAAGACGCATTAGTAATAGACATCACCAACCTAAGCGCGCAAGACTACTATAACATCGGCGGCATCATCCTACATGTGTGTCAGAGCTTTTCGGACGGCCTGATTCCGAATCTTGACACACCGCCTCTGCCACTCTCACAGGAGGATCTATAAATGTCAGCTTTCCGGATGTTTTCAGCGTGTAACTCAGGAGGTCTTCAGAATGGTCTTCAGAATGTGCGTTCGCAAACACAAAACCTAGAGGTACAACAAGTAACATTCTTACGGCGATATTATCTTGGATGTCTTCAGCGGTCAGAAATCACCCAGCACACCATCTTTTGCGTCGTCAAAGAGGTACGTAGAGGACGCATTACTAAGAACATCACCAACTAAAGCGCTCAATAAATATAACATCGGCGACATCATCCTACATGTGTGTCAGAGCTCTTCGGGCGACCTGATCCCGAATCTTGACACACCGCCTCTGCAGTAGTTACATTACCAGGTCGCACAGGTTCGGGACTGCGGGAATTCGTAGAGGTGGACTTCAGATTAATCCGTAGACAGCTAGGAGCGCAATCATTCTCAAGAGGTATTCATCTTGCGCATACAATGTTCATCTGCCAGAGGACTTCATATGTTTTCCGCGTCTGGATGTTTTCATCAGCTGGGAGCATTCACATCTCATCGTTCGGTAATTTTCAGCGTTAGATGTAGACTGAAGTCCACTATTCAGAAAGAAGACAGGGACTCAGGGAGTATTCATCATTCCCCCGCAGACCGAGGGGCCGGCAGCGCTTTGGCAGAATTACTACCGGGAATCACACACATACCCAGTCTGAGCTGGTTGTCTCGAGTCGTCATCTTCTTCTTCACGCTTCGAATTGTGCTTGCATGCAGAATCTCCACAGAAAGTCTTCAGAAGCTTGCATTCAGAATCTCCACAGAAAATCTTCAGAAGCTTGCATTCAGAATCTCCACGGAAAATCTTCAGAAGAGATATGGTTGTTTTCAGCAGGTACGTTTTCACACTTACCATCGGAGGTCTTCGTTGGCCGCAGCTCCGATGGTAAGCCTGCGGCCCCCTGCATCCCCTGCATTCTCGTATATGCATTACAGAACTGTCGGAAAAGATGTCTTCCTTAGAAACAGGAATTCCACACACACACACACAGACACAGCTTTATATCAAGGATGGCAAGACCCGTAGAACAGTTCCAACATTCAGAATCGTCGTTGGCTCGAGCAGGCTCAAGAAGACCATGGATTGACTGGGAACCGTTACCGTCCAGCCGGTGGCAGTTAACAGGGCTTCTCCGATCAGCAGACGTAGCGATCAAAGCAACAATACACCCACTACATTTATGATTTCCCTCATGAAGAGCAAATGACTAAACAAAAACAGAATGCTGCGCACTGACTGCTTTCATTTTGCGGTTGCAAATGCGGCATGCTGCTGAGAGGGGGTCATGTCTAATGCAATGTCCACAGGCGGAGTTGCAGGGCGCTGATGATAGCCTCTACGAAAGTTATCACGCCGTAGGTGTCGGATCCAACACACGAACCCGACGGTAAGGCTTCTGGTATGTATTTGGTGCTTTTCTGTATACCCTGAAACCTGCCGATTCTAGCTGTACAAGTAGGTCCTGGGACCGTGACGCTCCAAATCCCGTCGAAAGGCCGAGGTAGCCTGGCCGCAGAAGAAAAAGCCAAGACTAACCACTGCAACCAAGAATAGAACCCAGAAGCGGCAACTCCGAAAAGAAGGGGGCCTTCTTTTGGGGTCCTTGAAACAAGGATCCTACTATTTAGGGTGCTATATTGGGGTCCCGATATTCGGAAACTCCCCTTTGCCGCGGCGGGCGCTTGGGGGTGTTGCGATTCACGGGGCGTGACCCCAAGTAAGGTACCCCTAATTTTCGGAAACTCCCAAATGCACACCCGTGTCAGCAACAGCTTCAAAGAGGGGTATACTATACTGACTATACTACGCCTACAATAATAGGGAACCGCAAGGA